GGCTGCCGTACCTTCAAGACGAACAGATCTGGCAGAAGATGTACAAGAGGAACTGGAGTCGTACGCGCTTGACGAGAAGGCCGCTTACCCAGGTTACTATGGTCCTCACGGCCGTCGCGTCATCACAGAGAGCGTCATGGATACTCTCAAGGTCGAGATGAAGAACTGCAAGGATCGCGTCGTCCAAGCATCCGGTATCGCGGCCTTTGTACAAGCTGTCATGGTGCCCGAGGCGGCGATTCTGCTCATCATGGACGACTGTTCAGTGGGCAGGGAAGAGGCGGATGAGATCAGGGAGAAGACGTATGATATGGGTCTCCTGCTGAACGAGGAGATTGAAGACGTGCTTGAAAGACAGGATGACAGTGATGACGAGAACGAGTATCAGTACAAGTGATGGAGCAAGCAATTGCGGGTGTTTATTAGGTTTGTCACGGTCGTTGTTTCTTGGGCATCGGCCACATTCTTCTGCGTTTTCTCGGTTATTGGCTTCGGTCACATATCGTCGCGTATATTGATACCCAAATACTATTTCTACGCCCCTTTCATTGTGTGTGGTTCTTTTGACTGCTTCTCGATAGTAAACATTTGCTCGCTACATGTTGACTTTGTTATCTCAGCAGTCTACCTCAATTATCGGTACAGTATACGAACCCATATGCTCCGCTCATAGACTGGACTATCATCCTATCGTATTCCTCAAGCCTTTCTGAGATCACGCAAACGGACCCCTCTTGGCACTACGTCTATATAAAACAGCACTCACCTGCCTATGGACCTTATTCCCATGTACTGCTTTTGCATTCTTCCAAAAATCAACCTGTCCAGCCTATGTTGGCTGGCCTCGAAAACTCACTCATTCAAGTCGATGTCCACGTCCTTTTCCGCTGTTCAAAACGCACCCGGAAAGCTTTCATGTGCATACATCTCCAAAAAGACCGTTGAATCTGGCCATGATCTGTGGATTTCGGACCCCTCGATCGATCCAAAAACGTTCTCAACCTCGACATGTCCGCCGTCGTGACCCTGGCTCACGATATTTAAGTCCCTGTCGCCTCTTCTCTCCATTGTTCTTGCAAGAACACGAAAAGCCTTCTGTTTTACCAAAACAACTGAGAGATATGATCATGACATTCTCCAAAACGCCGCCTCCAAGACATGATGTCTGTTCCTCGCTCTTTCCCTTCGCCGGGGACTTTTCGAAAACCAACTGCGACGCACCTGTATGTTTTAAAACATCTTTAAGAAAATCTCATGATGCGTTCGATCCATCAGGTTACACCGAATACAGTCTTCTACTCCCAGTCTCTTCATTCCACCAAAACGACGAGGGCTGCAGCATATGCGATCCCACATTCTCAAAAAGTACAGCCAATCTCGATATGGCCATGCTTTTACTCCTCATGATATCCATGTGAACCAAAAAGGAAAGGTGCAGAATTCATGATCGGGCGGTTGCGTCGGCTTCCGCTGTACATCGCTGAGAATAAAAGATCACCATCCACTTCACCATGGCGTCGCTCTGTGCTAGTCCAGATGGGTATAAATATCACGTCTGGCACACTTGCCTTCATTCTTCCATTATCCTACCTTTTATACCAAAATGAAAAGCTTGAGAGTATGGGACATGACTTATTTCGAAAAAAAGATAGCGCTCAATGTCATGTCTTTCGCTGTCTGCCTGCCGCGAACTACCACAGTCGAAAAGCTTACGAAGTCATGTTTGGAGAACTGTTCTTCAAAAGCCCCAACGCATACAACATGGGCGCCTCTGGATCTTTGAGCTTGTTGTCCAAGATGCTCGCTGCATCCCGTTCGTATCAAGAAAAACCTGGGGAAATTCACCTTTACCAAAACTTGCAGTCGAAGTAGACATGACGGCTTTCTTCTCCAAAATCCGAGCATAATGTTTCATGCCAGATACATCACTTTTGGAAACGTCAAAGACGCGCAGCAGAGCACCTAGTATTTCAAACACTATACTTTAGAGTTGCGCTGAGGGCAAGCCTCTGCCGTATATATAGCTCCAACCTCTACTCCACTTCTATTCTCTTCTATTCTTCATCTCCCTCCCTATTTTTTCTAAAAATGTTAGCCGCACACGTCCATGGTCTGTTCTGAGAATCGCGGTGCAGATGTTTCGTGATCAATCTGTGAACACAGAGTACGTTTCCAAAACACTCGGCGATTAGCCTGATGGAGTTGGAGATGACAACCTCGATACACACGAAAACTTCTTCATGCCATGACTATGATACGGGTGATTGAGTAGCGGCTGGAAACTAAGCGAACGGACTGGGTCAGGGCGATAGCAAATAGGCGCGTATGAGATCTTGTCACATGTCTTTTCGATACCACGATTTTGTACCAAAAGCCACCTTTGGTGCTACTAGAAGTGGCAAAACTTGTGTGAAATTGTCTGAAGAATATTTGAGGGCAGGAGGATATATGGACTCAGGAAGTGTGTAATTATTGGGGTTCAATAGTATGTAGTCGCCACGCATTCTAGCTACTCCGAAGCAAGATCATCGCAACAGTCTTTCGGGAGAGCACATTTCGAGCAGGATTTACACCAAGCCTTGCGATAGTTCACCCCGCGCGCCACAGGTGAGAGGGCTCAGCACGTGGGAGATACCTGGGTGCCCACTTATATAAAGTGAAGGTGAGAGCGAGATTTCAACTTCTGATTCTACACTCTTCTACAACACAACACACCAATACACCAAATACTACAAGCGCCACCAAGACCATTCAGTCCAACATCATCATGGCATCCCCCAGCTCTTCCGCCGAGATCTGGCTTGTAGAAGTGACTACTGTCCCCCGTCAGCTGTCCCCCGAGGTCCAGGCCAAGGTGGCCCGCCTCCAGGCAGACACTCGCGAACTGGTGGCCGAGAGAGACAGGTTTGCAGCCATCAGTAAGTACTGAAGAAACAAATGTTATGAATTCGGAGCTGATTGATCATCTAGACGCGCCCTTCCTTGCCGCCGGCGGTGATCCGGACAACCTCCCAAACCCATGGCGCCTCACACCAGCACGCCTGGACAACCTCCTCCGACTCTACTACGGCCTCAAGCCTCACGATCGTTCGTTTGACGGTATACCCTTCGTTCAGTACTTCGGCAGCGTCAACGGCATTGCCAACGGGGTACCTATCGGCACCCGCGTCACGTCATTCAACATCCATACTCAAGTCACCAACCTCAACGAGATCTGGCGTATGATCGAGTGCATCCAAGACTCCGAGTTGTTCGGTGAAGGTGGCATGGGCCTCCCCGCTCACAGCGAGGGAGAGCTCACGTACAACATAATCGTCAAGATGACTGGAGCTCGAGCTTCAGCTTCAGCTTAGATGGGTGGACATACCAAGACCCGAGGTAAGTTCTGGCTGTACGAAATACATGTGAGACATATACTGACTTGGTATCCCTACCTCCGCAGGTATCTGAAGGTTTCTAAGCTCATGGATGGAGATTGAGATAGTTATGGCGATCTCAGGAAACACGAAAACTTCCTCGCGACACATCTATGGCTTGGGTGAGTGGAAATGGATAAACGGTAGCTCAGTGGAACCAAGAACCCTTTGTGCGCAGCTCGTCCAGGCGTCTACATTGATTCAAGCGGGCTACATCCAGATACTTATGATAGCTCATGTATGACTTCAAGGGCGGGCTGCCTTTCAGGCTCTCGTTCAAAAAATTCTTGTAGTTTCCAGAGCTATGTTTTGTGACCGAAAAGTCCTTTGTGGAAAACTTTGTATACCTCAAAGCGGTTCCAGAAGTTTGAGTTCTTCATGAGTTAGTATCTTTTGGCCTCCACAGGTTCTCGAAATCTAGCCGTCTCCATGACGCGAGCCACCTCTGGGAGGGCTACGAGCGGTATCTCGCATCAGTATTCCGAGGTCACGGTCACTCATAACTCGCGAAGCCTCTCCCACCATCAAGTATAGAGAGGTAAATAAACTGGGCTTCGTACACAGCCTTAGTGCGAATATGGGCGATGTCTCCGAGCCCGGGGAATGTTAGAATCTGCTCATGTTTGTATCAATAAATGGGAGTTGCCTGAGAGGTCGATAAGCCTCACGCCATCTCGAAGGACCAGCAACGTCAAAGTTACCGCGATGCGGCGCACCAATAGGGCGTAGTCTCTAGCGTGATACGGGAACATGAATCAGCCGCAAGTGAGTCTTTGTGATGTTCAACTTGGCAGTGATAGTCTCTCCTTCCGTAATCTGCTCTTGCTCTTCCAACGCTACCCGGTCGTGTACGGTGGGAGGGGTCGCCATGAGTGCAACATAATCACAGATGTTCCGATCAGCTGGCGTGTTCAGGTCCCGCCAGACTTGATTCGACACCCAGATCTCATCCCGATCTTTGCCGGTTTTGTCGTCCATGTAGACGCTTGCGCATTGTCGAGGCTGTTCCAAGGTTGTAAGGAGCGATCACATGATGGGTAGGTGCTCCTGGGCTAGTGCTAGTCTATACTAGGTAGTCAGGTATCTCCACATGATTCAATTCATCACTTCGACACTCAACAGAGGCTCCACACATATCCCGTTCCATCATCAAGACCCTTAACGGAAGTCGCGCATCAACTTGTTCAGATTCATCGCTACCACTTTGAGATATGACGCACAGTCCGGCGTTCCACTTTCCCTCATCCGATCCATGGCACGCTCTTGCCGCACGAACCACGCAGCACAATTCAACAGTCATTTCTGGCCTGATTCGCCCCGTACGTCAGCATAGCCTCCACCAATTCCCAGCGTCCATCCTGTAGCTGTACCACGGTTCTACAAGCGTCTGCCCCACTACAGCACACAATGTCCAAGTACAAAAGGCCTACCTTGATGGACCTTTGCCTCCGCCCTAGGCACTCACCAAGAACGAGTTCGCTGGATTTCCATTGTTTCACGCTATCTACAACCAAGAATCCACAAGCTCAAAGCCAAACCGACTGCCGAACTCCACCTCCACTTGTCGTACGCGAGACACCAAACATGGACATTAGATGGACCTACCGTGTCGGTGCGCCTTGTTGGTTTCCAGCAGCTGAACTGATTCATCACGCCTGAGTTAACCGTACCTCCCTTCGATAATATAAGAGCCCAATGGATACCAGAGTGGAGCGACGGCGTATTTCGACAAAGCGTAGCCCGCATTCTTCACGACGCCCAGGTCCGGGTTCTTGGCTACGACCTCGTAAAGCGCGTCCGACCCGGCCAGACCCCATCCCTGACGCCTCTCACGCTACTAGTCACCTCGGAAGTTTCTGTGGATGGACAATACTCGGCCTGGAAGGTCGCGGTGAGTGATCTCAGATTACTCTTCGACAAGGCCAATCGCGAGGACATTACGGTTGAAATTACAGACATCAAAACAGCAGACGGAGTACCATCAGCGCCGCTCACAGATTGCGCGGCAAAGCTTGTCGCAGCATGGGAGTGCTATCGGCCAGCTCTCCTTGAAGATATCCAGGAACAACAGTGGCTCACCGCCGACATCGTCCTCCGTGAAATCGGAGAATTGCTTCCCATACGCGCCCCTACTCTCCTCATCACCGCACAAGATGCCGACTCAGCCATATGGTGGGACAAAATCCTACCTCATATACGTCAACAACTCCCCCAGACAATGGAGGTCAACCTCCTTTACGCACCACACCTGGCCATGCAGACATCTGGAGACGAGGAAGAAGCAGAGAACCCGTATGTACGCCCTTCCATGTATTCTACAATGCAGGACTACGACGCCATCGTAGAGATGGGAGCCAGTATTGGCGTAGAGCAGCCGGACAACAGCGGAACAGTGGGCGCTGTCATCGTACTCAAGGATGCGGCGGGCAATGAGACAAATTGCGCCCTGACCAATCACCACGTCGTTGCGACACACGATCCAAAGAGTGTCATCAACAGCGGTATGTTGCTGGACGTACGGACACATCAACCAGATTGGCTCATTCTTGATACTACGACATGACTCTACTTCTATTGTACCGGTAGACATGGAGCAGCAATTTGGAATGACAGACGGTATCATGCTGGCTTTCGGCGTCATGCATGACCGCAAAGGAGAAGAGTTCATGAGGGCCGGCGACTCTGGCAGTTGCGTACTACTGAACGAACGCAATAATAGGAAAGCAACGATTCTTGGTCTACTCTATACCTTCAACGAGCATACGCGCGTTTCTTACATGATCCCGTTTGACTTAGTCATAGAGGATATAGAGCAGGTGACAGATCAGAAAGTGGTGAAGCCTGAGTTTGTTGAATACGATGCAAGGACCTAGGTGCACTTTGAGAGAGGACAGCGCATAGTCATGGTGTTTATTGCGCACCAGTTTATAGATCAACGTAGCTCTCTACAATCAGTTTACAGAAAGCAATGAAATGTCGAAATTATTAGACAATGATTCCCATGAGACTAGTAAAGCGTGTCCATTCGTGTAGCCATTCGTCAACACTGGTATTGCGGTGCTTCAGCGATGCATAGAAAGCTTGTATATTGCTAAACCCCAATGGACAAGAATTGTGTTCATTCATAGAGACCAACTTTCCATCCTCGCTCCATGCCGAATCATTCGAGTACCTCATACAAGGAAAAGGCTGAAGAGGTCTGCAGCCTACATTGAGATAAAAACATGCAAAGTAGGTAACCCAACATCAACGTAGGCCCCAGGGTGTTTGGTTTTCCCCTTCAATGAAGTGCGAGCATGCGCCAGTATCGAAATTTACATTTTCGTATAGACTGAGTTTGCGCATGCGTCCAAGCAAATGTCATGTTTGATCTTCAGTTGGAGTTTTGCGCGGCTGCTCTGCAATGTGTGGCGCGACAAGCTAACGAAAACCACGTTCGCAGAAAATGGTGGTGATGAAGAACTCAGTCTGTTCGAGAGTAGTCGTGACGCGAGTAGAGTATTGTGAGCACTTCCAGAAAGATGTAAGAATCCGCATTTTAGACCCAGAGAAGAAGCAGACGGTGAACTTTCATGTTTTCTGCGACGTAAGACTATGGCGCGAGGAGGTGTTCGATGTGAGTTTCGAAAAGGAACTGAAAAGTGATGATGTTGTGAAGTCCTCCTGGCTGCACCATGAAATCAGAGATTTCGACTTTTGAGTCGCTTGTATGCGTTACTTGGTCGTACGTTTTTGACAATCGTAAAGCTCTCAGAGACCGAGAAGAACATGGCAAGCAGTGTTGTAGTTTTGATAGACCGGGGAGAACATAGTAAGCCTTGTTATCTTTTTTGGTGGACCGGAGAGGACATGAAAAGTATCAATGTCGATTTTGGTAGGCCAGCATCGCACAAATCAAGTGAAGTTTCGTCATCTGAGAAGCTGCCCCTCAGTCGTGTTCTGGTTCGAAGAGACCCGTAGGAGCCCAAACATAACGAGCGTTGCTTGCTTTTTTTTTAATGAAGTGTAGAGCTGAATCCAGACATGCGCTGTAGACATTTTTGGTTTAGCTAGAACCAAAAGATGCAAAGCACCAGATCGTGTGTCCTTCATGATTTGATCTTGCTGGAAAAGACCGGTCAGGGAGTCCACATGAGCCAGATAAATGACGATTTTGAAGGGAAACAAGACCCGGGCAGAGACATGTGTCGTTGCAGCGATGATTTTGATTTTTGGAAAAGGCCGGTCTGGAAGCCCACATGGGCAGGCTAGGTAACAATTTTGGTAGGAAAAAGACTGGACAGGAAGTCCACATCGTCTTCTTCCATTGCGATTTGGTGAAACAGAAGACAGTCACACATGGAGCTGCGCCGAGGGTATTTTGATTTAGAGAAGGTATTGTATGGAGAAAGAGGGTGGATGAGCAAAGAGATTTATGTAACCGTATTGGCTTTCGAGGAGGTCACGTGCAGCACTGACGTTTGCATGTGAGAGAAGAGGAGGCAGGTAATGATGTACTGACATGCGACGGGTATATTTCATTTCGATTCTCCAACCACCTTCATGGGCGCATCTCCAACATGAGTTCCCTATATGCTTTTGTAGCTTCCAATTTGCGCCGTTCCCATTTGACTCCAAAGTATGCTGTACAATCCATCTACCCGTCAAGCACCCCGCTCTCCTTAAGAGAACGGAATAGCTCTGGTTCAAGGAACTTGCTAATTGTGACGTCCTCCGCGAGACCCTTCCTTCTCCTCGTCTTGAGCACGAAATCGCGTGCGAGTTGTTGTGCGGTTGCGGGTTCGAGCGGTCGGGTTGTGATGTCTTTGTCGAGAGGGTCGCCGGGGACGATGGACCAGCGGTCGAAGACGAGGGAGAGGGAGACTTGGCCTTGTGTGTGGATCTATGGGAAGTTAGTATATGCGCTAGGTAATGGGGATGATTGTAGGAGGTGTACGTACCCTGAGATCGGTCTCGAAACCGAAAGAATCGATGACCGGAATAAGACCACGCACGTTGTAGAGCGGAGTACCCGCGATGGGTCCGTCCTGCAAGACGTGTCCTCTTCTTCGCGCAAGGACTGTGTACAAGCTGCTCTTAGTGTCTGCAGGGCCGACCATGCTGCACGAGTACACCGGCTCCATCAGCCTGGGACTCGCCATCAGGAAACTTGAGTAGCATGCTCGTCGACTGGTAGGAATGATCTGACCACCTCCGCGGAAGATAGCTTCTGGCGCAAGTTCGACATCGGTGATTCGGAACTTTGTGTTGCGAATGGGCTCTTCGCAGAGCGGGCCTTCTCGGGTAGCCCAGCTGAAACCTTGTCGAAGCGTATCGCGCACCGTTCGCAGAGTCTTGCCGTCGACTTCTGAGGGAAGTGTGTCGTTTTGTAGGATATTGGGGCCCATGTCATCAGGTCCGAAAGCCCAGATGTTGCGCGACGCAAGCAAGTCGTATCCGTAGTTCTCTTCGAAGAACTTTCCAACGACTCTGACGGGATCCTTGATGTTGACCTTGCCAGCTTCGATGTCTTCCGCGATACCTGGGTCGAGCGGCTCAGCAATCATCGTGAGCTTGTTCTTCTTGTTCGGTGTAAGCGCGTAGCACTTGATGGCGGACATCTCAACGACCGTCTCGCAGAATCTTGTTACGGGATCCGACACCTTGATCTCCATATCGGCGTATAACCGTCGCAGATCGTGCAGAACACAGTCCATGTATAATTCGCCCGTGCCGAGAACAACGTGCTCTCCTGACTCCTCGACCTTGGTTGTGATGAGCGGGTATGACTTGTTGATCTTGCGCAGACCGTCAAGCATCTTCGGTAGTTCGGAGGGGTTTATCGGTTCGACTGCGACCTTGAATACGGATTCAAAGAAGTGGCGGATGGGCCGGAAAATGTAGGCGTCTTCATCTTCGGGGAGTTTGGTAGCCACAATAGTCGCTGTCTTGACTATCGAATTGTCGACACCGCCGAGCAGCACCCAGTTACCTGCCGGAACACCGCTGACGGGGATATTGTATCGTGACTGCGCTATCCATGTGTCTGTTATTGTCGCAACGACCATGTCTTCCTCATCCTCGATCGTGTAGCCTTCACCAAGAACACGCACCGACTGCGGTGAAGTTGCAGTACCGCTCATCACTCGGCCCAGTGCTGTGAACGACTTGGCATCTGTTGCATTGAACAACTTCGTAACGTGTATGACTAGGGGTCCGTTCTGGTCGCACTTCTGCATGGCTTCGGCGGTCTTCGTATCCAGAGGTCCGGTGTAGTGTCTTTGCAGCAGCCGTTGCGCACCTGCTTCTGGCGAAGGAACGTGTTGGGTGATCATGTCTACGAAACCGAGAGATGGCCCGAAGTACTGCTGGCATACAAGGCGCATCAGCTCCTTTGCGTCGGTCTTGTATTCTGATGGCTTCAGTCGGATGCCCAAAGTGTCGAGCGTGTCCTTGAGGTCATCTGGGCTCTGGCTCAGTGTGTGCGAGTAGATCTTGTAGACAGGCTCCAAGATCCAGTGTACGAAAGACCGTTGTGAGCCCTCCTCTTGCCGCTTGCGACTGAACTTGCGGCTTCCAGGGTTGTAGAAAATGTCGCCCCAAAGACGCATGGCGAATTTATCGATATCCAGACCCTCTATCGGAACGCCGAAACCTGGGAGTTTTGATGGACCGGGGTAAAAGTCGGAGTACATCTTCGCGAAGGACTGAATGGTGAAGCACCATCGCATGCTGGAGCAAGCGAAAGCGACATTGCCTTTCTCAGGGCTTACTCGTCTACTCTCGCCGCGGCCGGGGATGGTGTTCTCGATGATAGTGTTTACCTCCTCGATTACGTGCTTGATCTTGAAGTATGCGTCGCTGGGCGGCAGCTTCAGCTCCAGAATCAAGCGGTCCATCTTATTGACCACAAGTGTTAGGGGAAGATCCTCCAGCACTGCGTGCTTTATGATTTGCTCCGTATTCACTTGCACGCCTTCAACCACATCCACCACCAATACCACTCCGTCGACCAGGCGCAACGAGGCGGCGACTTCATCGGCGAAGTTTACGTGTCCGGGGGTATCGAGGATGTTGAAGAGATGCGACTTCAACTTGGTGTTCTGGAGGACAAGGCTCATGGGCGCAGCCTTGATGGAGAGGCCTCGTTCGCGTTCGAGCACGTGTACGTCGGTGTATCGCAGCTGCTCCTCCCGCTTCTTGCCCCTCTTGTAGTCCAGACGATCTTGGATGTCGTGTGTCTCCATGACCAACATATCCATAAAGGCAGTCTTTCCGTGATGCAAGTGTCCAGCTATGGCGATATTCCGTATCTGGTCGGGGAAGTTCATCAAATCCGTCAAGAGCTCCCTCGAGTGATGCACCGGGGGCAAATCTGTCTCTTGAATCGTGAACTTCTTCTGCACTACTGGCGCAATAATGGGCTGTGCCAGTGACTGCGTATCTTCCTCGTGCACCAAAACTTCGACATCTGGGCCGTATACGTCGGACGCGGAAGGGTAGTACTGCTTGTCTTCGTGGAGGATCACGGCATTGGATGGCCCTTCGTCCACCTCCATCAGCTGCTGGTCGTTCGTCTCCGCTTCTTCCTCGTCATCGAGGACGTAGGCGTCGGCTGCCTGGCCGGTGCTCTGGACATCGTCGTCGGACTCGGCCTCGCCGATAAAATTTCCGAACCTGTCAAAAGTCAGTCGCGTAACATAGTTGGAGAGAATGGGCGCACTCACTCGTCGTATAGGTCATCCATGGCGGCGGTGGGTGTGGGTATATGCGCGGTGGTGATGCGCGTCGAGCTTGAAGCTGTCGCAAAAGTTCAGACGTGGTTCCGCGGCCTAGCGCTAGGCGGTGAGGGCGGAGTTCGTGGCTGACCAATGGGACTCCGAGGCGACTCCTG